ATTTCTTAACTAGATATTGCTGCCTAGATACAGTATACATGGTTTTAATAGTAGTTGCATACATAGGACTTAATCCCTAGGTGTCTGGTGCACCTGACCTTCCTCTGCTTAAGGCCATATTTTGAAAGTTGCATTTTCCAAAGGGGCCCAAATGCAGGGTAATTACAAATAGTGTGTAATCTCATCAACATTGGGTCTAGCTATAAGTGCCTGCTTATAGTACAGCATCAGCCAGGTGAAATAGCAGCATCCTTGCATCCCATGGGTCATTTCATTTGTACTGCAGACTTGTGCTTTAATGACATTTCCAGCCTCTACCTGCAGTTCTGGGTGTGCTTTGACTGCTTCTACAGGTTGTAGGCAGTGCTCCTAAGGTGCTACCTACTGTAACATCTGCCATCATTGCTGAATACTTGTCACTCTTGTAGGAAAGGGACGGCGTTGGGGAAGAGAGTGAGGGTCCTCTTGGATCATGTAGAGGAAATAAGGCATGATTCTTTTTGGACAATGAAGCAGTAACATGCTGGACACAGAAGCACTGGGCAGCTCCTGTTTCACCAACCTGTCTTGTGGCTCTGTGGGACTTCTGTGCCCTGCTGGTACCCTCCACTGAGTACCTGGCCTGGCTGCGCAGGCTTACTCTGGACAGGACATGTAGGCACACTCCTGGAAAAGTACAACTCCCAAGACTTCTGAATCATTGTGAATATTTTGTTGTGATGACAGTAGCACCCCACATGGCTCTGCTCCAGAGCTTGCCCAACATGACAAGAAGCTGTTAAGTTATAAACACTCAGCTGCCGTGTGGTTGGTGTGAGTGGCCCTGAGGCAAGATGTCTGTTGCCTGGTGCAGGCAATATGACTGCACACTGAGTTAAAAGAGGAGCCATGGGACTGTGCTGGCCATGGCCCTTCATCTCAAGACAGCTGGAATAATAATTATAAGATACGTGTGCCTGTGTTGGTGAGACATGAAAGTGTGTAGTGCTGTATGACAGGATACTCTTGCAAAATGTAGTGTGAATGTGGCTATTGTGCTCCAAAGAAGGCTGGGACTTCTCCAGTATGGATGTGACAGGGACATGCCTTCCAGCCTACGCATTGATATGTTCATCTCGACAAAGTCAGTAAATATGTAGCCAAGGTAGAAGTCTGTGTGGAGTTCTGTGCCTAAACTCCTACACAACAAGTGACAAAATCCATGTCTGGCTGCTTAGTTATGTCTGGTGATACACCTGTCCTAACTTTTATTTCCATGTAATGCTCCTTAAACACACTTGAGCAACAGTAGAATTATATTAGTGGTCTCTTTTGAAATGGGCCAAGTGTGTAGCCAAGCATGCAAAATTTGTGAAGCCAGAGAGCAATTAAAAAGGAGGGACCTGGGCTGATGGTCCAGAGATCAGGCTTGACCCAAGAGGGAATGGAGAACAGGAAGTACTGGATTTTGCTCTGTACCCTAGGGTCTATCTCTGCATGTTATTACAAAAACCTCAGCAGCCAGGCTACCGTCCTGAAGTGTGCAAGATTTGAACTCAAACCTTCTGGGACTGAGAAATGTTTAGATTTTGGCTCTTCTATATCCTTGATCAGTGCTCTAATAAAGCTTTAGGGCACAAAGTGTCTATAATACCAAAGTGCAAAAGGAGGCACTTCCTATTAAGGGTTTTTTTTACAAGTCTTAAGAATAAAGACAGAGGGAACCTTGGTAGAAGCAGGATAGTATATAATTTGCTATCGTCTGTTCTTCAGGGATGAAGTAATAAAAATGTCAAACACAAGACAAATGTTGATTAAAATATAGGTAAGGTGTAGTGAGGAACAAGGAATAAGAGAAATCGGTTATCAAGAAATTATATTCAAGAATTATTATCAAGAATTAGAGTCCCATTTGAGGAGGGAGCCTAAGAGATTAGTGCCCATATAAATTTCACATGCATAGATGCTTCTACATAAATGATAGTTTTCAAAAAACACGGCATGGGTCTATTATACTGTCCAGCTTTTCATGGGAATGTTAGCCTAATGGGGGTTCTGCAACCTGATGTAATAAAAACAATGGATGAACACTATAATTCCAGGATATAAATTATGTAGGAACAGTAAAGTAGATTGTGCTAGTTTAGACATGATTTTAAAAAAGCTTACTGTCAAATAAAGTAAATAACAATAAGGTTGTTGCCTGCTGAACTTAATAACGGCTATTACAGAAACTGTCTGGACTGAAACAGTGTTCCTGCATAGAAAGAGTATACTGTTAGAGCTTAGAGCAGTGCTACTAACCACTTTATTCAGAAGGTGACACAGGTGTGCTAAGAAATACCAGAAACAGTAAGAGAGAAGGAAACTTAGTAAGTGAGCGACATCAGTAATTTCTATGGAAACTGGAGGAGTGTTACCTCAGGACTTGATGCAGAAACTGAATTTGTAAACACTACAAATGACTGTTGCTTGGAGCAAGTAATCACATACCCCATAGAAAGAAAAAGAACTCTTGGTCCCTTTCCAGGCAGCCACTCAAAAATCTGCTCTTCTGTAGTGACACAAGTGCAACATCTGAAAAAATGTGCTATGCTAATGTATAAGTAAAAAAGGAAGTATGTAAAATGAGTAAGTCTCCAAAAGGAAATTAAAAGGAGCAGTTGAAAGGATACAAGCTTTCCAGGCACAAGGAGCTTCTTTAGAAGTAATGTAGGGAAAACTCATAACAGTACATATATAAGATATCCCCCAAAATGCCACCTGTAAGAAAACATCTTTTTGCAGCTCCCAATGCAACATTTTTAAGAAAGGTCAATACCATCCTTTTTTAACCAAAGATGAGAAGGAACCCTCCGAAAAAGTCTATGGAGCTGACTAGTAATGGAGAAATCTATAGAACTGACTAGTAATGGAGGTATGAATGGACAGCTTTTGCTCAAGGACTCTAACGACACAGTAAAAAAGTGAAATGCTTGCTTGCTTGCAGTGGAATTCATTACAGGGAACCTACTGAAGGATGAAGTGGAGGAATTGTCTCAGATCTAAGTTTAAAACAAATATCTGAAACAGTAATCAAACAGTATTCTACAGGGCCCCATAAATTGCAACTGAAGTTGAAAAACTACTAACTGTGGTGTGTACTGAACTGGCTTGCTTAAGGAGGGTCAAAATGGCTTTTTGGGAGAGGGACATCATGCTTCTGATGTTTCAGTCAACATCAGAATGCTACTGTGTAAAAGATCCTTGATCTGCTCACTCCTGAATATTGTGTGCGGGACCCCTGTCTTACAAAAGGGTATAGTAAAAACGAAGAGGTATATTCTTAATCTTAGAAAAAATAAGGGACATAAGTTAGAAATCAATAAAATTGTAACTGTTTTGGCAAAGGTGAGATGAGAATGGATATTCTCTATTTTTTCTAAAGCAAGAACAAGGGGGGAACCCAACTGAACTATTTGGAAGCAGTTTTAAAATCAAAACAAAGCAAATAAACATAGTTTAATTGTGTAACTCATTGCCACAAGAAGTTTTGAAAACCAAAAGGATAAATAGATGCAAAAAGTTGTACAAATTTGTGTAGGAAAGGTCCAGAAAAGGCTATTAAAACCAGTGATGTCCACAAGGCTTTCAGTTCAGAAAATCCATAAGATCCAGGGTGTTGGAACTTGGCAGCATATTGGTTAAAATAATCCATGGAAGTAGCACATTTAACTTCTTTCTTATTTTTCCTAAGCATCTGCTACTGATGCTGTTGGGCACAGGAGAGTGGACTGGGCAGATCTTTGATCTGATATATTTTTATGTATAGATGATGAAATTTAATTGTTATTTTTTAACCAAAATAATTAAATAACAATTTGTTCAGTGCTGTGATTGATACTTCCAAAAATAAAGTCTTTTTGGAAAATTGACAAACTGGACTCACATGAAAGTATCTAAAATACAAGTGTACTAGATACATCGGCAGAGTAGACATTGTCTTTCACCTGTTTATTTAAAAAAATACTGGTAAAGCCAGATCCTAGCAGATGGTGTTAATTCTGTGTTCCCTACTTTAACTGATGTAAGAAGTTTTGCAGGAGCACTGAGGACTTGGGTTCTGGCACTGTCCTACTGAAGGATATCTCTCTTAGTTGTGAGCAAGCCCTCCCTATGGAAGAATAACTCCCTATTCCACCTATGAGCATAACACACCACATATAGCCTCCATATGAACCACAGTGTGGTTTTGGAATACTTGTTCCTTGTGAAGGGTAGTGGGGCTATGCAAGGTAGCACCCACAAAGGCGGTCCTGGGCATTTTGTTATGTTAACAGGTATTGAGCTGTTGTGACTCACTCGTACCCTGCTTTCAGAGCTGGTGGTGTTGAGCTTCTTTGGCAAAGCATGCATACTTCCCAAGTGTGTTGAAAATCCAAAAACTGGAGGTAGGCTATAGAACAAGAGGCTTCTGTTGATACGATTAAATAATAAGTGAAAAAAGTTCAAGGCACAGATTTCTGGGGTAAAAGAATCTGTTTTTCCTGATGATGAAAACCAAGAAACCAGTCTTCCAAGACTACCCACCTCAGCAAAGCTGTTTTTCTTTTTATTCAATGCATTAGAAAACAGGAAAATAAATAGACATAAGAATGCATTTGGATTCCAGTGAGCCTGCCTGCCTGGTACATCACTCTAGAAACAAAATTCCCATTTATACAGAGAATTTACAGAAAAGACGTTTGCTAAAACTGATCTAAAGCTGACATGATGAAATCCAGAAGGAAAAGGCTTTTACTATGATTGTCAGAAATTCACGTTTCCCATTTTTCACTACAGAACATAAGAAATGAGTTGAACATGCTTTATATTTCCCACAACTAGCAATTTTCTGTCTTTGGAAAGTTTTAGAGGGAGGAGCTCAGAGGTGCTGTGGGAGGGACTAAAATTCATATTAAAGTTTTGGCATGAGAGGGAGAATTGTCAGAGTAGAAGATTTCTTCTGAGGTTTTGCTTTTTTTTTTTTTTTTCAGTTTAGGATGATAAGTATTCATGTTCAGATTCTTCTAATAATTCTTTTTTGGAAGTCTGATTGTCAGAATATTCCCAGGATTGAAGAATGTGGACTTTCATGTTCTCAGGTAATCTCTTACTTGTTCCTATTTACTATCTATTAATATAGTAGTTGTATGCTGCCAAAATAATTGTAAGAAAAGCAAGAAAGCAAAAATGGAAAAATATTTCAGCTGTCCTGAACATTCACTTTATATTCCTGTCGTTCTGAGTTAAGTATCCAAAGTGACAAAGATGACTTAGGAAGGGAGCAGAGAAAATGCATCTTACACTATTTCCAAATACTGTTGTTAGTACCTTTTTTAATCTGTCTTTTTTATTTGAACAACATTATTTAGTTCATATTCATTACTTTGGAGAGTCAGTTTTTACAACAGCAGTGGTGCCAAAGAGATGAGGGAGGGAGGAACAGGAGGTTTCAGAAATTGCTAATTATGTTAGGAATATGTGAAACACTGACTTTCCTGTGAATAAATGAATTAAGCTTGAGAAAGAGTAAAACCTGTTTTTCATTTTATGGGATGAATGTAACTGCAGTATTAAATTTAATGACTTATGTATGTGCATAAAAGTGGAGTGTGAAACATACCATCTCTTTAACAGCTTTGAATTTTGTATGTTTCCAAATATGCCCACAAAGGGGCAGTATGGAGATATTCCGCTTCTGTTGGCATTCTGAAACTATAAGAATAGAGAAAATTGAAAGATAGATTAAAAAAGGATAAAATAATAGGGAATCTGACTTTCAGTCTTAGTAGAGGATGATACCTATGTACTTGCTACAGAGAAGTGAAATTGATGGCATGAAAGAATTTGGCTGTCTGTACAGACTTCTGCTTGAAGGTGTCAGTGTTTATGACAGGCAATAAGACATATTAAAGATTGTCTGAATGTGGTGGTACTGCCCAGATATTAAGTTAGTACATGTTACAGCCATTTATTCTATATTTTATACATATCTTGGAAAATAACATGAATAAAGATGCTTATAAAATACTAGATTGGGGACACACCCCACACCCCCCCCGTATTCCTGCATTCAAATTCTGTAGTCTCTATCCACTTATACAATGTTTTTAGAATAATAAAATGTAGTCATAAGAGATTAATCTCTAGATGTACCTGAGTACTTTTCAAGAATTTTTATGTACTTATGTTTATGAATGCAAACACACATGTATTTTAAATAATTTACGCTCCTTGGTCTGCTGCAATGAGAGTTTAAAATAGAAATGATTTACTGTTCTGATTTATCCTTCCAAAGAGTGTATGACTGTCAGACTCAGCATGTAAAAAACAATAGCAACCTTTTTTGGTGAGATTCAGTCTAGGGGATAGGACTTGCCTCTGGGGACCTTAAAGGACATCTTTCTTTGTCATATCTTAAATATGACAGAGAAAGAAGATGACCGATTCGCTAGATGCATAAGGTATAGACACAACCCTGAGGTTTGGTAGACTGGATCCCTTTCTTTGCCTTCAAGTGTTTGTCTTACAAGTTTTCCAATACTGAAGGTTTGATAACTGACCAAAGTGTATTTTTTTTTTTTTTTTATTTACAGGGGAAATACATTGTTTCCAGTATAATGGAATCAATCAATCATTTGTGATGTTAAAGATAGGATTCAGTTCGTGTTCTCTATGCACTGTTTCTGCTAGATGTATTCAGTAGAATCTTGAATGCATTAATGACTTTTTAGGACAAAAATGTTTTCTCACTGGGAACAATAATGATCTCAACAAGACAAATTACTGCCAGCATAGCATTTTCAATCTAGTGCAAAGCATTTTAGCTACATGAACTTTAGAGTCTCATGACTAGCTTGCTAGAGAAAACTCCTTCTTTCTTTTCCTTTGGAAGTAACTTCAATTTCCCTGCATAACCAACCGCAGTTTGTGGCCTCAATCCCATTCCAACCTGTGTTACTTTAAAAGGAAGCAGTTTATCTTCTCCATAATTTATAACTCAATGGTCTTTATAGGGGCACTAACCAGGGGTCACAATTTGTCTTTGTCTATGTGCAGTATGTGTGCTGCCTTCTGCTATAACACCTCAGATCACAAAGATTTTTTCTAGCAATTTGCTTAATGTGATAATGACATATTGTAGCTTTAAAACTATCAGAAGTTTTCTGTAGCTGCTATTGCTACAAGTGAATATTATAGAAAATTGTTTTTTTCTTTATGAAGTTTTCCCATAAGTTTGTATAGTGGATTTCTCTTCTGCAGAGTCAACTCTGAGGTTATGTGGGTCTTCATAAAGCAATAGGGGAATGAAAAGTAATTAATTTGCATTTTTCTGCATTCTTCAGACTGTGGGTATTGTCAGAAGGTTTTGAGCAGGTTTAATAACTGAAACTGTTGAGTTTGACCAGCACACTAAATTTCAAGGTGGCTATGTCCCTTGAATATTTGTAAGCTGTTTTGACCTCCTTGGGTACTCCTTATCAGAGTAAAGCATTGGTTGTACTTAAGATGGAAATAGTGACATAACTATTTTATGTAACATAATAGTGTTTTGAGGTGTGTGACTTAAAAACCCTTCACACTGAACTGTTTAGATTTTGGATCTTATTACAACTTTATGAATCATTCTTAGTTTACCATGAATATTGAGCAAGATGTCCTTGCATTGCCTTATATAAGGCAATATCCAGGTTTCATTACTGTACCATAAACTGTACTTCTGTTCAGTACAGGAAAGGGAAAAAAACAAACGAACATTGGATGTTATGAAAACATTACATAAAAATTTAAACAGCAAGAAAATATAGAATTGTGGGTTAAGTGATGGCAAAGGAACAATCAAGTTTTTATTATGTATTATGACTTATTTCTCCTTTCTTATTTTAATGGCTTGGCTTTAGAGCTCGAGTGATATTCTGGTATTCAAAGGTTAAATACAATGGGCTTGGTCTCCATGCCTCACCCAATAGCAAACAAAGTTATCAACCAAGTTTCCCTGTGAAAGCATAGGGGAATCCCAGCCTGCAATTGAAATTGGGTTTGTGCCCTACTCATTTTACGATCCATATTGTTTGCAGGCTTTACGTAAAGAAACAGGCTTATGCCAAATTTGACTCAACAGCTGGTAAAGATCAAGAGTGCTGCATTTAAAAAAAACCTCTCCAGAAAACTATGAAATAGTGTTTGTATTGTCTGCCATTAAATGTAGTAATGTTTCCAAAGTCCGTGGATAAAGAAGGAAACCCTAAACTGAATCTGGGATTTCCCTGCAATTATAAAGGTTATTGGCAGGGCAGCAAATTGTTGATATAGTTGCTGCGTGTTCATGCTATTCATAGTCAAAGTATGTGGTGTTTCTTTACTGGATATTTATGCCATGGATCCATCCATTCTTGCTGAATAATACACACTGCAAAACCAGTGATACCATACAGCCCTTAGGCCACTAACTCAGCTGAAATAAATTGGCATTTTTTGTTCATTATTAAGGAAAGCAATTCGTATTTTAAAAGTGATCCCAAGTCTCTAAAAAATGGACATGATAATCTAGGTGGCATAATTCAGTTGTTCTCTAAAATCTGTTTGGAAAAACTAGTATTAGACATGGAAAATATCTACAGAGACTGATCAGACACCTGGCTTCCTCAGAGTGAGCGAGAGAGAGAGACAGAGATAACAGTGTGAAGTCCCAACATAGGCAGATGATTCACAGACTTTTTTTGTGTATGCATCGATATACCTGATAACTGGAGGAGATGCATAAAAATATAAAACATATCCTCTGCTAATAGTTGCTGAGATGCAGTACAATCCATGAGAGCATGCCCTAGATAGAATGCCTTCGTTTTGCATCCCTGCCTGTCATTGTCTCACCTGTGTGGCCCTATTCGAGTAATTTCCTTTCTCCAGTTTTCACAAGTACAAAATAGTGCTGACCTTCCTGTGTGATGTCTTAATTATGTGTTTTAATTAAGTGCTTTGAATACTATAATTAAGTGTTAAGTACTCATTAGTCAAAGCAGTCATACTTAAGGGGCTCAATCATGTTGAGTCACTGTATTAGAGTGATATTAACCCATTTGCTTAGATACCCCTGCTTGCCTTCTCTGCTGGTAGTCAGGAGAGCTGCAGTTTAGCGTTAGGTGACTTATCTCTTGGACTGTGTTTTACATTTACTCTTAGGGTCAAAAATAGCTTGGCAATGATGAGACACTTAGCTTCCATGTTTCCTGCTGTGTACTATGCCACTGGTTGGGTGCCATCCCATTTCCTCACCCCCTGAGAAGAAAACAGCCAGTGACAGGTACAAGCAGGGACTTACAAAACTCTCCAGTGTTCCTCATTATTAGAGCATCTACCACCACATCTTTCAGGAGAGGTGGAGATGGAGAAAGCTCTGCAATTCAGAACTTGCAGAAAATGAAGTGGTACCTCTTGGTTTTTTTTTTTTCTTTCTCATTTCTCCCTTCCTCAAGAACTCTGGAAAAAGGTTGCAAGGTCTGGAAGGAGATAAGCCACTCAAGCAGCAAGAGCAGTGGCACTACAGACAGTCATGAAAGTTGGGGGCACAAAATTAACAGATGTTGGAACTGGACACAACAAGATGTCCTGAAACTGAAACACAAGGCAGTGCTAGAAGCTTCACCACCTTGAGACGTCAACATAAGTATGTGCAATCAGTACCCATAGCAGGAGGTAGATATTACAAAAAAAAAAAAAATATATAAGCAAGCTCAGCAGGAGATGGAAGCAGCTGACCTTTATTATTGGCAGCGAATTTTAGCACACAAATCTTTCTCAGCCCTCATCTTAGGGAGGGAAGGTATCCTTCAGCTCCATTTGGACCCAAAGCTCAGTGGTGAATATTGAGATTTGGGAGTAGGTGCTTTCCACAGTTGCAGAATATTGCTGTCTGACTGACTGCTTTGCAGGGGGAATGCCTGTGCATGGGAGAGAACCAGGGGATGATCAAAAACGAGAAGGAACAAAAAGAGGTTTTAAAAGACTTCTTTCTAAGGATAGCTTTGGATACTCTCCTGGCTTTTTGGCTCAGCATTGAGAAGCTAGGCCTCACTCCCAGATAGGTAGGTAATTTGGACCT